TACCTCCCCCACAAAGGGTCAAAAAATTGCATATCCAGCAACTTCATAAAATGTGAATCACAACATCTCAATATTTCCATCAATACAAAATCTGTTAGAAGTATGTTAGGGATCGGACAATGTCTTCCAGTACCTCCCCTACATAGGGTTTATGATTCTGAAAAGCAAAACGCTCAAGGATAGCGTAATAAGCATCTAACTGTATTTTAATTTTACACATTAAAACATTTTTGCTAACACATGATTTGTTGTGAAGATGATATATATCTGTGAACCCCTTCTGGTATCTCACCCACAAAGGGCCACAATTTTCAATACTTGTATCTGTCACAACTGGCGAAACAAGTCAGCGATTTTTTACAACTTGCTATATCTAAATATTTCTCTCAACCAGAAACCCGAAAACCTGAAACCTAAAAATGTTCGAATTTCTAGTAATTTTACCCATACCAATATTTATATTTGTATTAGATGAAGTATGAAAATGGAATACTTTGGTCGGCTAAAGCTGGTACCTCACGAACATTTTGAAATTTTCTAAAAATTATCACATATCTCATATAAAGTGAAGCAAGTAATCAATATAGTCCAAACCTGGCATGTCGCAATATTTATATCATATTTATTTAGTTCCGATACGAATGGACCATATTGGCTCATTCCTGCGGAACCTACCCCATAGAGGGTCAACAATTTGAATAATCATAACAGAAGTCAAAATATATTTAAATAATCGAACATTGTTCATAGGATGTATTAACCATATTTTTTTTGGCCGACAGAGGCATACTCTCAGGCACTAATTATATTGTGACTTGCGTTATGATTATTCAAAATGTTGACCCTTTATTGGGGTAGTTCTGAAGATAGAATGTCGAAAAATAAATTCCAATTTTATGGGAATAATATGGGAATTGAAACTTTTACAGGGAAGCATCGGATTTCCATTTTAGAAAAATATTTAGATGTACCCACTTTGAAAAGAATCGCTTAGTTAAAAATATTCGTATGTGTGAAATTTGAAGAGAATCGGACGTTTATTTCTTGTTTTTTTTTTTTTTTTTTTTTTTTTTTTTTTTGAGAAATATAAATATTGAAAAACAAGTAAGCAAAGGCTATAGTCGTGCGGGGCTGACCATGTGATACCCTACAACACAACAATATGTTAGAAGCCCCCTAATGTCCGAATTCATTTTGGAAGATTTCGCTTTTGAAATAATTTCATAAAGCACTGCCCAGATTAGACTTAGCTCTTTAGCCATGGACATTTGATCAATATTTACGCACTTCATCGTGCTGTTAGTTGATGTGGTCCATTTTACAGCTACATATACCAATTGTTATCCAAAATGCTAGAATTCTTCCCTGTTCTTAACTCTCTTCAATTGTGTGAGCAGGAATTTTTGTTTTGTTTTTGGTTCATTTGAACCCTTAAATATTTTACGATCAACTCCAAAAGCAAGAGGCCCCTCTGTATCTCTAAATTTAGACTCATCTATATGATTTGCTTGTCTACGATATTTGGCTATATCCATCAAGGAAATCACCATAAAAAAGCCAGAAGTTCGCCTTTTGTGAATTTCGGATATCGCCTGTAAGTAATGTTGGTATTTTTATACACAAAAGTAGTGGTCCATTCTACCCGCTGTCCTAAACTCTAACTTCATGTGAGATTTCCTTTGGATTCAATTTGTTAACTTTATAACGGCTGCAAAATCAGGAACATTTTTAGTTGTTGGTCCCTTTCAACCCCTAAATATATTGCGGACATCTTTGAAAACCATAGGCCTAGCCAATCTGAGCCTTACCCTACCCTTTTCGAGGTTTAATGCAAAATTTGACTTTTATTTAATACAAATGCTGTGGCCTATTTCACCCACTAAATATTACCCGATGACCATCAAAATTGGAAGGCTTCTGCCCAGCCCTAAGCTCTAGCTTCTGCCCAGCCCTAAGCTCTAGCTTCCGTGTCGATTGGTCTATAATTGCGACCTGTAGAGCAACTTCAAAATCAGGATTTTTTCAGTTTTTGGTCCATTTCAACCCCTAAATATTATGCGATCATCAACCAAAAGAAATAGGGTTCTATTCTGACCCTAGCCCCACCTCCATTCTAAATTTCGTGAAGATCGGACCATAATTGCGACCTGTAGAGTGATTACAAATTAACATGGACAGACGGACGGACGGACGGACATACATAGCTAGATCGACTCAGCTCGGCGAGCTAGGAAGATCCATATATACTTTCCTATGTGGGAAACCAATATTTCGTGGTGTTACATAATTTTTGGCCCAATCAAACTTATAATACCCCCAACACATAGTGTTGTAGGGTATAATAACAGAAGGAGTTGTCCGACCTATCCCATCTTCATGGCAAATCTAGAGTTTGTTAGAAACATAGGGGTATGCGAAATTCCAAGACAATTGGATTCTTATTTCACATTTTATAGGCGCTGAGATTGTGGGCTGATATTGTCCATTGTTGCATCTGACCTGGCAAACACACAAATATTAGGATTTGCAAGTTTTGTACAAAATCGGATGATCCTTGTTCTATGAGGTATATTATTTTATGTGAAAGGAGTGGTTCGACATTGCCCATTTTCAAACACGATCTAGGTGAGATAATATAACGATGTACCAAGTTTAGACCAAATCGGATACCCCCTTCGAGAGTTATCGCGTCCACCAGCTAGACGAGCAGACGGATGGATAGACACTCGTGGAGCGAATCCATATGTCCTGAAACGGATTTGGTCCAAAGAGAGCTAGGACTAAAATCTTATTTCGATGAGCCCCATTTTGGCCGATATCAAAGAAGCCACATGGCGAAGGATATAAAAAAGGACCTAAAAGATTCATTTGGTAGCTCGCTTAAACGATAATAATTTCCACCAAAATCCTTCCGAAGACAAATGTAAGGATTCCAGTTAATATTAATAGGAAAAAGACTTTCAAAATGCCTACGCGCATGGCTTCCTCTATACCACCCAATATAGTATCGAGGGTAAGTTTGTCATTCCGTTTGCAACACCTCGAAATATTCATTTTAGACCCACAAAGTATATATATTCTTGTTCAGCATAAAATTCTAAGACGATTTAGCCATGTCCGTCTACTTGTCCGTCTATGGTAATTACTCTAGCTTCCGAACGAAATTAAGTAGGTTGATAAAATTTTACACAAATGTATATTATAGCTGCAGGACTTTTGGTATTGAAAATGGACCATGTAGGTCCACGTTTCCATATAGCCCCCATATAATGGTACCTCCCTACTTTCGGTATTTTGGTGATTCAAGTGACTTTATTCACCAGAAATGTTTCAAACTGGGTATTTGAAGTTCGCAATGGATACTACAGCCTATAACAGAAAATTCTCCGTAAAGGTCCACGCCTTCGTATAGCCCCCATATAACGGCACCTTCTGATATTCGGTATTTTGATGATTTTAGCGATATTATTCACCGGAATTGTTTCAAATTTGGTATTTGAAATTCGTAATGGATCCTATAGCTTAAGATAGAAAACTGTCTGTGCAGGTCCACGTCTTCGTATAGACCCCATATAATGGTACCTCCCTACTTTCGGTATTTTGGTGATTTTAGTGACATTATTTACCGGAATTGTTTCAAAATTTGGTATTTGAAGTTTTTAATGGATGCTATAGCCTATGACAGAAAATTGTTTGTGCAGGTTAATGTCTTCGCATAGCCCCATATAACGGTATCTCCCAATATTCGGTATTTTGGTGATTTTAGCGACATTATTTACCGGAATTGTTTAAAATTTGGTATTTGAAGCTTGTAATGGATACTACAGCCTATAACAGAAAATTGTCCGTAAAGGTCCACGCCTTCGTATAGCCCCCATATAACGGCACCTTCCGATATTTGGTATTTTGATGATTTTAGCGACATTTTTTACCGAAATTTTTTCAAATTTGGTACTTGGACCCTACAGTCTACGACAGAAAATTGTCTTTGCTGATCCACGTCTTCGTATAGCCTCCACATAACGGCACCTCCCGATATTCGGTACTTTGATGATTGTAGCAACTTTATTCACCGGAAATGTTCCAAATTTGGTACTTGAAGTTCGCAATGGATACTACAGCCTATGACTGAAAAATGTCTGTGCAGCTCCACGTTTTGCTGTAGCCCCCATATAATAGTACCTTTTATTGATTTTAGATACTTTATTCACATTAATTATTTCAAATTTGGTATTTGTAGTTTATTCACCGGAATTGTTTCAAACTTGGTACTTGAAGCTCATAACGGATACTACAGTCACAGACAGAAAATTGTGCGTACAGGTCCACGTCTTCTTATAGACCCCATATAACAGCACCTCCCGATATTCGGTATTTTGATGATTATAGCTACATTATTCACCGATTTTTTTCAAGTTTCGTATATTGATATTGTAATGGCTTATGACAAAAGTTGCCTATGCAGGTCTACGGCGTGGTATAAACCTTAATATAACGGCTACATTCGGTATTTTTTAAGATTTTTACAGAATTTTTAACGTGTTTCTTTTCTTTTTTTTTAATTGCAAAATTCTTTCCGAATGGTGGAGGATATTCAAAGTTACAACTTTTTTACTTTCATAATCTGCTGGACTTTCCCGGTAAATATTGAACACATTGCTATGTTAAATTTATAAACCATAATTTTATTGTCAAATTGGTTTCTGTTATCCTTTTTGTATGTATATCAATTTGAATCCAAGATCACATTTTAATCTCAAGAAAAAAATAATAAATAATTTTTTTTATAATTTTGTTTTGAGTTAATTTTGTTATAATCAGTAAATTGTGGTATGTGAGTTGGACATATTGTTTTTCGTGTTCCTTTTTCTTAGTTTCAAATTTTGTAATGTACATATGTGTAAAAAATGAAAGCAAAACAAAAAGAATGTTCTATGTACATAACGATTATCCTAACTAGGACACTTATACATAAAAGTCTGTTATTATCACGTTAGGAATTATTTTTTTTTTCTTGTTAAAAGTAGAATCAAAATAGGTTTTTGTGTCTTCCTACAAGTAAAGGATTGTGGAGATTTGGGTTTTTGTTTTGGAATTTTTTGGGTGTTTGTTTTTTATTGTTTATTTACAGAAGATGTTTGGGCGGTGTTGTTTTAGGCTTAGAATAAAGTTGTTTTTGTTTTTAAATAAATTTATTCCTTCTTGGTTTCCTTAACAGCTTCAGGGTATTCCAATTTTACACCAGGTTCACAGGTGAAGACGGGACAGCAGTAGGGGAAGGCAGCTGTCTTGTTGGTCTTTTCAGTGTCCAATTTGCACTTGTCATTGGCCAATGGCAATGGACCACAGTCTTCAACCAATTCCAACAATCTGGAGAAATTGCAAAAAAAAAAAATCATTTAATTTTTGATTGAATTTTGAGTGGGGATAATATTATGGGACTTACTTTGAGGGATCTTCTTCATTTTGTACGCAAGTTGAGCGACCACAGAATGGTGTCAATTCCCATGATTTGCCAACTTCAACGGTAGCACAGCGGGTGGAAGCAAAGCACATGCCGGGGAAATCTACAAAGAAAGAGAAAAATAATAATTAATAGGATGTCTGGGAAAAGGTATTGAGTGACATAAAAATTTCAAGTGATACAAATATAAATCACAATCTAGATGCCCAATCGAATGACCCTAACTTCTGCATGCCTCTACGAAAAGCTCGCCATTCAAAACTCTAAAATTTTGCCCATTAACAACTCTCCCATCTTCACCACTGTATCAGATGACCGGTTATTTACATTTTTAACGGCATCTTTTCCATTTGCTTTTAATATTCAACACAAAACAAAAAGCTATTATATATTTTTTTTATTATTTGATTTTGTGAAACTTGTTTTGTTTTGCATTTTACCAAAAGAAAAAAAAAACTGGTCTCCACGTATTGTGATTCACCCGCATCACTTAAATGCCTAAATTTAAATCACTCACGTCTCACGTAAAACTTTCACTTTCAATCTGAACCACATAATTTCCATCGACAGCCAACCAGCTGTATTAAATAATCATCTACGATCTGACATTATTTTTGTGCTTGAATTAAAATCACAAAGCGGCAAGGCAATAAACAATGGAGCAAAAAAGCGGAATGAATAAAAACAATGGTTATTCGTTTGTATTACATTGAACTTGATTTATATTTAGTTGCAGTCAACAAAACGTATTCATCTGGAATAACTTTTTTTTTATTAAAACTACAGTAACTAATTCAAATCCGGGTTGTGGTTGTTGTATGGCGTCCGACAGAGGCATAGATCAGCTGTGGCTGTTTGTCATTTGGAAGGAGAATTTTTTAATGTCTGAAGAAAGATTAAAAAAAATCTGAACATAAACAAATCTCACGTTGGGAATTACAAAAGAACCGATTAACCCTCATACAGTACTTAAGGGCCCGATATGACCCAAAGAGCTGCAAATTTAAGCATAACTCTCAATTTGTGCATATTCTTTGTTTCCTGTCGCGCAAATAAGAAGCCGTGACTATATACTGTGTCATTCTTTGGTAAGATGGTGGGTAATGGGTCCGAAATGCTTGTTTGAATTGTAGTTAAAAAAAAATTTGCTCGAATTTGAACCGGAGCACTCGTCATACTCCAATTTTATATCCTCCACCGTAGTATGGAGGGCATATTAAGTTTGTCATTCCGTTTGTAACACCTCGAAATATACATTTTAGACTCCACAAAGTATACATATTCTTGATCCGCGTGAAATTCAAAGCGATGTCCATCTGACTATATGCCCGTCTGTGGAAATCACTCTAGCTTCCGAAAAAATTGTAGTCGGTTTGAATATGGGCTATATAGGTCCATGTTTAGGTATACTGTTACTGTACCTCCCGATACTCGGTATTTTGATGATTTTAGCGAAATTGCTCACTGGAATATTTTAAAATTTCGTAATGAGAGTTCGCAACAGAACCTACAGTCTATGACAGAAAATTGTCTATGCAGGTCCAGGGGCTGGATTCTTGTTCTATGAAAATATGAAATGAAAAGTACCTCCTTTATAAATTTTTTCATTTCACATATCCTTCCTTTACAAAAACAAGGAAGAACAAGAATTGAGGATCAGGACTTCGTATAGCCTCCATATATCGGTACCTCCTAGTATTCGGCATTCTGATGATTTTAGCACCATTATTCATCGAAATTGTTTCATATTTCGTAGTTGAAGTTCGAAATGAGTATTACAGTCTATGACAGAAAATTGTCTATGCAGGTCCAGGTCTTTCTATAGCCCTCAAAATAACGATATTTTTATACCCTACACCACATAATGGTCAAGGTATTATGTCTTTGCGCATTTGTGGCCGAAAAATGGTTCGTGAGCTGAATATGTCCCAATATTCCATTCGGCAACTATTGAAAAATGAGCTCGGGGTAAAGCCATTGAAATTCCGAAAAGTACAAGAACTTATACCGCAACGGAAAGAAAATAGACTCAAAAGAGCTAAAGAGTTTCTCCACTTGGCCGAAAGTGTTGAACTGTCGAATCCAGTTTTCTCCGATGAGAAAACCTTCGTTGTCGAGCAGTTTGTAAACAAACAAAATGATCGTGTTTACTTGGCAAAGAGGTTAGCTGAAAATGTGCAACTTCGGTAGGGTACCAGAACGCATGCGCCGGCCTTGGTGATGGCGTGGACCGCCATAACAGCCGATGGTCGCTCTCCGCTCAAATTAATCGAGCGTGGCATCAGATTAAATGCCGAATATTGTCGCGAAAATATTCTGGAGGGGCTATTAAAGCCTTGGGCACGCAAACATTTTAGCCGCAGACCTTGGACATTCCAACAGGACTCAGCACCAGCGCACTCAGCACGCGCCAACCAAAAATGGTTACAAATTGAGGTTCTTCGCTTCATTTCCAGCGCTCAAAATCTCCTGATACCAATCCGTAGAATTATTGTTTCTGGAGTATTTTGGAAAGCAAGGTTGGCGCTAAAAAATACCAAAGTGTCGATCACCTCAAACAAGCGCTTCGCCGGGAATGGGCCAAAATACCGCAGAGCAACATTCGGGCAGCGTGTGGCGGTTTCATGAAGGCCATAATTCGAGCCAAAGTTGACCAATTCGAACAAATCTAGACTTATTCTAAAATTTTATTCTACTTTCGACATTTTTTTGCTTTCATTCAACAAAATTAAAAGTTATGGCGTTTGTTGCAGTTTTTTAATCACCCTGTATATATCCTTAATCCGATTTAATCCGATTATGCAAATAATGGCCAATATCAGCTAAAATAGAGTGAATTTCGGGATGTACGTTTCCATTTGGCGGAACTCGGCTATGATATATATATTTTTAATATAATCCTTCTCGTCCTTGTTTTATATTATTATTATTATCATTAGTATTATTGTTATAATTATTATTATTATTATTATTATTATTATTATTATTATTATTATTATTATTATTATTATTATTTATTTATTGCTTTTTTCTTTGAATATTTCCAAATTTGTTCCAAATGTTGAGGGTATTCAATTCTACTTAATTTTTTCTGGAAAAAAATTTTCTGTATTTTTTTTTTTTAATTTTTTCTGGAAAAAAATTGAATTTTTTCGCATAGTGTTATAGAAAAAGTTTGCCCATTGGGAGAGGGTACTTGCAGGAATGAGTCGATTTTTTCCATTTTCTCGTTTGATCTATTGTTGATTAAGGTATAGAAATATTCAAACGGTGAAAAATTACTGATTCGTCGTGCCATTTTCCAAAATTTTCTTTTGTAAAAGAGAATTTCAGTCAATTCGAAACTTCGAAAGAGAATCAAATTGGACCAGCCGTTCTAAATTGATAAGTTATTATAAATGTTTTTTGTCATAGGAGTTATTTTTAAAATAACGTCTGACAAAAAGAATATCCCAGACAAAAAACAAGGGAACTGATAAGGATTATTGGCTCTTTCCGAAACCTAGGTATTCCCTGCCCTACCCCCTGGTAAACATTACCATCCTTCTCCACTAATAAACAAACATTGTTTTTATAAAAACAACAATAAAGGGATTAAACCTGACCATTTTGCAACAACTAAATGTTTTTTTTAATTTTTATTTTATATATAGATATCCAATAGTCTATGGTATGAGTAGGTTTCTTTTCCAATATTTTCTCAGGGTATTAATTTTCAAAACAACACAACACGCAACGTAAATGTGATTACCATTAAAGAGGGCAATCCCTAATTAAAATCGACATTTGTTCTCATTTCCTTGTGTTCCATATAGGCTTTTAGTTTTCCTTCTCTCCCTCTCTCTCCCTCCCTCTCAATTTGTTTACCATTTATTTCAAAGCCCATACCGTATGCATTTTATGCCGCCTTTTACAAAAATTTCGAAATTTTCGTTTGTCAAAAAAATGTGGTAAATGATATGTCCATATATATGTATGAATGTCTGCAAGTATTTGCGATAAATTACAGAAAACTACACACACACACGCTCACTCACTCACCAAACAAACGAAACGAAACGTTCCAATTATGTCAATGGATATTTATTTTATTATGGCAACAAATGTGAGAGACATGTTTTATGAATAAGTGCATACTGTTGCAACATGTTGCAAAGAGGCTGAAAAGTGTGAGGGGACAGAGAATTGGAAAATTACCATCGTCACACACACACACCACAAATGGAACTTGTTTTTTTCTACTAACTCAAAATAAAAGTGATTGGTTAATTAATTACTCCACTTGCAACAGTCACAATTATTATTATTTTGTTGTTTTTTTTTTTTTTGTTTTGTTCGGTTTTTGCTCCTCATGGTTATCAATTAGTTAGTTTAAACAAGGCAACGCCAATTTGGCCAAGATTAAGTTTGAGAAATGTACATCGAATGGATTTAATTAAACATTTATTTGTAAAAGTGAGAGAATAAATGTTAATTAAAATACCATGAGACCATGTAATTAATTTTAGTGCTACAATATCCTTGAAATGATTAAGTGCGGTAACTGAAATTGCCATAAATTTTTAAAATATTTAAAAGCATTTATTATTTATGGATTTTCAGAAATCAAATCAAAATATTGAAAAAATATTTCTATCTAAGCAGATATATGTAAATTGTTTTCGAAGTCGAATGACTTTACCAGACCAGAGTGACTTTACTACCTCTAAAAAACCTGACTAACCATGAGAAACATGCCGAGAGGGGCAAAAATTGGGAACTTTGAACAATATAATTTTGAAAATTAGTCTATAGCCAATACAGAGAGAGAAAGAAAGAAAGTGAACCAAATTCTGTTTACCTCAGAAAAAAAATTATTCCCAGCAGTCAGCTGGCCATTACAATTTAATACCCATCCAAATGTATGATATTTTGTCAATAGGAAAAAATTAAATAACAGTGGTTAATAGCATACAACTAGCATTTAGATGAGGCGTATTGTGAAACCAAATCCATGTTAGCATTAAAGAACAAAACCAAATATAATAAAATAAAATGTGTTCATCGCACTTGCATCTGAATCTGCTGTCGATAGATTTCGAACCCATCTAGCCTTCGCCTACAATGTCGGTAGATTTCGGACCCATCTAACATTCGCTTACATTGTCGGTAGATTTCGGATTCGTCTGACGGCTTAGGCCATCGCTATGTAAATGTACGTAGAAATTGTATACAGGCTTTGGATGAGTCGCACCTACATTGTCAGTGGTCCTAGATGGAAGATGTATGTGCAAAAAAATCAGTTGGGTTATTGAATATTTTTTTCATCATACTGACTTTAATCGTAGATACTCTCCAATTAACACCGGATGCCTATAGATAATCTATAGGGTGAGATAAAAAAACTGCAACCAACTTCCGACCGCTGTCATTTCTAAGCCACTCGTGCGACATTTGTTAACATTGTTCCAGTGACAGCTCATTATATCGTTTACAAGCGTACAAAAGCATTTTGGTGAGAATTATCCAGAAAAAAAGTTATTCGTTATGGAATTCAAGCATGATAGTGTGATTTCTTTATATTTGGCTGGAGAATCACAAGTGGCTATCGTAAGAGGACTCCAGAATTTAAATGTGAATAAATCTTTTGTGTCTCGTCGCTCGTTGCCGTGATACTGGTACCGTAGCCCGAAGTCAAGGAAGTGGACAGATGAAAACAGCAACATCAGTAGAAATTTTCCGAAAAGTAAAGAAGCGACTTGATCGAAACCCGCGTCGCAGTGGCCGAAAAATAGCTCATGAGCTGAACATATCGCAATATTTCATTAGGTAAATATTTAAGAATGAGAATCAAGAACTTACACCGCAACAGAAAGAAAATAGACTCAAAGGAGCTAACGAGTTGCTTCGCTTGGCCGAAAGTGGTAAACTGCCGAATTTGGTTTTCTCCGATGAGAAAACATTCGTTGTCCAGCAGATTGTAAACAAACAAAATGATCGTGTTTACTTGCCAAAGAGGTCAGCTGAAAATGTGCACCTTCCGTTGGCCACCAGAACTCAAGCGCCTGTCATGGTGATGGTGTGGGCCACCATAACAACCGATGGTCGCTCTTCCCTCGTATCAATCGACCATGACATCAGAATATATGCCGAATATTATCGTGAAAATATTCTGGAGGGTGTATTAAAGCCTTGGACATGCAAACTCTTTGGCCGCAGACTTTAGATATTTCTACACAATGACCACCAAAATCTCCGGATACCAATCCGTTGGACTATTGTGTCTGGAGTATTTTGGAAAGCAAGGTTGGTACTAAAATAATACCAAAGTGTCGATCACCTCAAGCAAGCGCTTCGCCGGGAGTGGGCCAAAATACCGCAAAGCAACATTCGTGCAGCGTGTGATGGTTTCATTGTCCGTTTGAAGGCCATAACTCGTGGCAAAGCTGACCAATTCAAACAAGTCTGAACTTATTCTAAAGTTTGACGCTATTTCCGACATTTTTTGCTTTCATTCAATAAAATTAAAAAATTATGGTGTTTGATTTTGTTGCAGTTTTTTATCTCAGCCAATATATGGAAGCTATATCTATATTTAAACTGATTCTCACCAATTTCAATGGGCTCCGTCCTTGGACCAAACAAATGTTTTTTTTTTTCTCTTTTTTTTTTGGAAAATTTCATCTCCACCGGATAATAAATTTTGACTGACGTACTGACATCGACTCAAAATGTGATTCCATGAAGATCCTCAAAAGTTATTATGGGCCATATAAAAATTATGGCGTTTGACTATGTTGCAGTTTTTTTTTTTTTTTTTTTTTTTTTGAAACGATTCTCACCAATTTCAATAGGCCTTGTCCTTGGACCAAATAAATGTTTTTTTTTTTGGAAAACTTAATCTCAACAGGATAATAAATGCGACCTACATTTTGTTCACAAAAACATATGGACGGACGGACAGGCGTATTGACATGGACTCAGAATGTAATACCATGAAGATCCTCAAAAGTAACTATGGGTCTCGCTTCCTTCTCCATAAACATAATACCCTTACCCTTATGTGGTGTAGGGTAAAAAAATTAAAAATGTAGCCATTTCACGAGATTCAAGTTGAGTCTAAAATTTTAAATTTTATAACAATTTGCGAATTCTATTCAAATAGATAGTGGAGAGGCACATGGTTAAGACATAAGGCTTAAGGTAAGTAGTTTGGCACATTTGTTGACACATCATAATGGAATGTCACAGCCGAATCCTTCGTTTTTTTAGAATTTGACATCTTCTATGCCTTGTCGTGATGCCATGTTGCTTATGTGTCATCACCTTTAGAGTTAATAATCTGATGACAAGTTTGATAATGAATAATTTTATTAAAATTCAAAATTCATTTCAATCTCAAAAATAAATAAATAAATAAATAAATCCAATTGAAAAATTGCACAAAAAATTTTTGAAAAATTTAAACAATTGCTCATAAGCCATTAAAACATGTCCCCAATATCCAAATTCCATACAAAACACCCCTCGATTGTGCAATTGTTCCATTTTGTTCCACACAATTCCATCAAATTGTCTCAAACGTAACAAGACTGGTTGTGGTGGTCTATACGGTATTGGGATTAGAAAAAAATAGACATTTTCCACATCGACGTTGCCGTTGTCAAGCTACCATATTCAGAGGTAACTGATGAAGGCATATCTTTTTTTCCTCTCTCTCGCTCAACAATTAGCCATTATATCGAAAACGTAACACAGATGGGTGATCACAAAACCGGTCTAGCTGAAAATCCTGATATGGTTTCTGCAATGAAGTCATTCATGGTGTAAGTCGTTTCAAAAAAACCATTATTTTCAATACACATTTGTTGGATTTTTTTGATCCCACATGCAGAGATTAAAGTTCAGGCTGTATGTTAAGACAAACAGAAAAAAAAATGTCCAAACCCGAGCTTTGAAAAATTCATAAAAGGTGTGTCGAATACACGATTTTATTGCGAAAACCGAAAAAAAATTAAATAATTAATACTCTTTGAAAGAGCAACCGGCCGGCAAGTGGTCCCAATTTTGCGGTTGAGGTGTGGCACGTTTTGTATGATAAGAGGTGTTCATGGCTTACATTGAATAACCACCGATGATGCACAAAATGACTTAAGTTGATTTTTTTTTTTATTTTTTTTTTTTTTTTAGAAAAGGACCTTAATTCTCAATTCCGAACATGCAACTGAAGTTAAAAAAACCATCGTTATAATTTCTTTTGAAGTTTTCATTCAAAAATACCCCAAATTAAAAAAAAAAATAATTAATTAAATTATCATTTTTTCTTTAAAGTTTCATTTAAAAATTCTCAAATTTCAATAAAAACCTAGAATTTGAAATAACCCCTCTCATTTGCATGGATTTATAGTTGATTATGAACTAACTCTAGAGCACTAATTAATTCATATTTATAAACATTTTTCCTAAGAAAATTTAAAAACGTCTAGAAATGTTTCGATGTTTTTGAAAACTAAAACTTGTTTTACGTTGCTTGAGCAGGGGGAAGCTTCCCCCTTTCTCTACTGTTTTTTTTTTTTTTGTATTTTTTTGTTTCTAATATTATCCACAGTTCGTTTGGTGTTTTGGGGGAAACACCGACCACCACTACTACCTACCTCTGAGCACATCAGCTGGGATCAAACGTTTGTAGATTTTGATGGTTCCCTCGGCAGGAGCTTCTTCTTTGGTGTCTTTTTTGTCGGTGGCAGCACCATAGACGCAGGCTACCAACAAGAATACAGCAGCGGCATTGATGAAGAATTTCATTTTTGTTGTTTGTTTATTTAATTTGAGCAAAGTTAATTAAAAATTTAAATAGGTTGCTGTTTTGTTTTTTTATTTAATGGTTGTTTTTTGGGGGGATTGGTTTGTTTGTTTTTTTATTTTTGAGATTTGTAAATTTTGTTTTGAATTGCAGATACACGCTTTAAGCCTCTACACGGATTTTGGCAGATATATTTTTTGTTGCTGTTGTTGTTAAGATCGTGTGTTTTAATAGTGTGATTGTTTCTCCAGAAATGTTTACAAAAAACCAACTCACGAACCGTTGCAAGCGAAAGTGAGCACTGAATTAAATTTCAAAATTGTTCAAACACCCGTATTTATACAATGTGGCCCAAACGTCAACTTTCCAAAAAGACAAGCTGTATATATATATATTTAAGCTTGGCTAGTGCTGGCGGAGCTGCTGCGGGCTGGCTGGCTGACTGACGGTTTGTTTCGTTGCTTTTCTGCCGCCGCCGTTGTTAGTTTTTGTTTCAGAAAAAAGCCAAACGGTTACGCCACTGTAAATGTTAAACTAGCGAAACGCGTCATTGCGAACGATACATAACGACATGCGTACACCCTCGCCCAGCAGCAAGTTATTAGATGGCAGATTTATTTATGTGAAGATTTGTAACTTCGATAAACAATGGATTCACTTGTCATGCATTCATTGCTTAGCAGAATGACAATTTTTTTCGAGAACTTTTTGACATTCAAATATGAGGATTTTGAGAAGTGACAACATTCAAAATTAATTTCTGGAGTATTAAGGAAGTTATAATCATATTTAAAAAGCTCTTCCCTAACGATTTTGATGTCATTTCTTTACACGAGGCTATACCTAAATTTATCCCCAATCGGAAAATGCACATAAGAAAACACAATTAGAAAAACCTCTGCTGCAGCCTGGTAATCCATCCACTCTTGGTTGGAAGCAGGAAATAGGCATCGATTCTTTTTGATTCATGTGACACCCTTCAACATTATGACCTGCTAGAAAGTTCCACAACCATTTTGACTACAGTTTTTTTAGAAATAATTCGAAATATTTGGTTGTAATTCAAGAATTATTTTTTTGTAATTCGTAATATTTCAATTGTTATATGGGAATTTTATTTATACTTCACTCCTTTTTGTTATTCAAACATTTCAAAAGTTATTCAAGGATTCAAATTGTAATTCGACTTATTCCATTTGAAATTCGAATTATTTTATTTGTGTAAATATATGTATAAATATATATAAGTCAGTTCAATTTTTATATACAAATTAAATAAATTGGGTTTTTAATGAACAATTTTAAAGCACTCCTCCAACTTTGATATGTGCATAACCGAAAACGTTGATATGTCCATAACCACTATTTTGTTAATTTGTATACCCTCAGTCTCTTTGGTCTCTTTGGACCAAATCCGTTTCAGGTTATTTCCACTCGATTTAGCGATGTCCGTCCGTCCGTCTGCACGATAACTCTAGAAGGGAGTATTCGATTTGGTCAAACTCGGTACATCGTAATATTTTTGTCAAACTTCCATCGAGTTCGGAGATGAGCAATATCGGTCCAACTTTGGAAATCTATATATGTGCGTCAGTGCTACGTCAATATCGGTACACTCTATCAAGTACCTCCCCCACAAAGAGTCAACATTTTGAATAATTAAAATTCTTATAAAATGTGATGTCAGCGTCCGATTATCTTCATATTTCACACATCCTAATAATTTTATTAACCTAAGTTCTGGTGTGAAGATGAAATATATTGTTTCATCCCTTCTGGTACCTCCCTCACAAAAGGTCGAAATTTTGAATATCCATGGAGCTCATAAAACGCGAAATTAACAGTCGATTCCATGTAGTCTTGGCACTTCTGAATATTTCTATCAACACAGGATCTGTTGTAAAGGCGGTAGAGATAGGACCATTCCTTCTGGTACTTCCCCCACAAAGGGTCAAAGTTTTTAGTAACCAAAACGTTTTTAAAATTCAAAATAAGCATAAGGTTCTCTTTATATTTCACACATTCCATGATGAGTATGGATTTTATAAGAAGTTACCAATAAAGATCAAACCTGGCATGTCGCAATATTTATATCGTGGACAATATTGGCCCATTCCTTCAGGACCCACTCCATAGAGGGTCAAGGGTTTGAATTATCATAACAGATATCAGGATATATTTAATTAATCGAACATTGGCTGAGGGTATACGTCTGTCGGCAGAACCGACTGATATTTTTTAATTTGTCTGACTAAATTTTATTTAGAGTTTTGACACCACTAAATTCAATATTTATCAAAAATTGAAAAATAAAATTGAAACAATATTTAAATAATACGGTCCTGCATGATCACTCGTAGAGAAAACTCCGTATCTATTTTGACCGATTTTGCTTCCACTCTAACTTTTCAAACAGTAGTAACTCGGGAGTACTTTCACGCAAACCAAAAGAGTGAAGAGTAGATTCCGTAGAAAACTCTAGCTCTTCCAGTAATGCTGTTCGCGAGAACGCTTTGTTCCTGAATGAAAATAAGAAAAACTGTGCGTTGAATTTTACATCCCCAGATTTCGATAAAATTTTACTCAAATGTATTCCAAGGAATATTTTGGTTTTTAAAATGGGTCTTATAGGCATATTTTTGTTCTGATAGGATATTAACCACCATCTAAACGGACTACCTACATAGGCCCAAGTTTTGACAAAAAACCAATACCTGACGTTTCATTCCGATTTATGAAGCTTTGAGCTTTTTAGCCATTTATATCCTCCACCTTGGAAAGGAGGGTATATTAACTTTGTCATTCCGTTTGTAACATCCTTAAAAATTCGTCTTAGAACCCATAAAGTAAATATATTCATAATCAGCATAAAATTGTAAGTCGATTTAACGATGTCCGTCTGTCTGTCTGTTCGTCTGTCTGTCTATCCGTCTGTCTGTCTGTTGAAATCACGATACATCCCACATTATTGACGTAGAACTCCAAAATTTAGCAGAGCAATTTGCATTGTGTCTAGGATGGTTGGTATTGAAAATGAGATATATCGGTCCACGTTCTGGTATAGTCCCCATATAACGGTACCTCCCGATATTCGGTATTTTGATGATTTATGCCACATTTTTCTCGGATTTGTCTGAAAATTGGTATTTGTATGTCTTAACGGGTGTGCGTGCGGCAAAACATTGCATGTATAGGTCCACGTTTTGGTATAGCCCCAATATAGAGGTACCACCCGATATTCGGTATTTTAGTTTTTTTTTTTTTAAATAATTCCGGTTAATAAGGTCGCTAAAATCATCAAAATACCGAATATCGGGGGGTACCCTTATATGGGGGCTATACGAAGACGTGGACCTGCACAGACAATTTTCTGGCATAGGCTGTAGCATCCATTTCAAACTTCAAATTCCAATTTTGAAACAATTCCGGTAAATAATGTCGCTAAAATCATTAAAATACCGCATATCGGGAGGTACCTTTATATACGAGGATGTGGACCTACATGGCCCATTTTCAATACCATTTTAATTAATTTTTTTACTTATTTAATTTCGTTCGGAAGCTAGAGTGATTTTTAAAGATGGACGTGACATAGAATTTTATGTGATCTGATCAAGAGTATATATGCTTTGTGAGGTCTAACATGTATATTTCAAGGTGTTACAATGGTAAAATCAGTAAATAAAGGTCAAAAGTCGGGCAGGGCCGACCTGATGATACTCCACACCATTATTCATGTTTATTAGAACTACTCATAACAAATAAAAGTTTATTTTGGGAATTTGTGTGAATCGTGAAATCGGATGAAAACAATATATGGGAGCTATATCCAAATCTGAACCGATCTATGAAAAAATAGCACAATGTAGTAAAAATAGCATAGCAGAGCTGTATTTGATATATTTCCCCGAATATCGTTACTATGGAGTGCATATTACGGCTGTGGAGGACAAATTTAACAAATCTGACAAACAATATATGTATGTGAGACATAGCTATATCTGAACCGATTTCCAACAAATTTGACGTACCTGTTTCTAGGTTTAATTTGGTTATATGTGCCAAATTCTATTCAATTTACCCATTTGGTACCCAATAAAAGCAACATATATTTCCAATAAGGTTCGTCCTTGGGCCAAACAAGTGACTTGTGCAAAATTTCTTCTCGACCGGACAATAAATGCGACCTGTACGTTGTTTACAAAAATAAACGGACGAACGTCTGATCATCAAAAGGTGTTATGGATCTGTCTCGCTTCCTTCTCTATGTTACAAAACAAGTGCACAAAGACATAATACCCTGACCACAATGTGGATACACTCGGGTTAAAACCCGGCATTTTGAGGAGGTACATTTTGGCCGTATAACTGTCCTGTATTTTATATTATTCCAATGTAACAAATTCTCACGATTTCTAGTATTTAGAAGATTTTAGATGCAATATCATTATACATTTCGGCACAGGGCACATGTAGCGGGTGCAGGCGATGTATGATTCTTTCGCATTGGAAGTGTAATTTACCATAGAAAGACAGGTATTCTGCAATGGTCCGTATTCCTCCGAATCTTGCAAGAATAACTCTTACCCAAATAATGACCTCCGATGGAATGGAAAACAGTTGAGCCTCAATCAAAGGTAGTTGAGCCGCATCAAACCATCAAATTTGAGTTCTTATAGTTGTAAATTAAATATTCAAATCATTTTACTTTGACACTAGCAGTATGATCATTACTACAGGATATTGAACACACAATAATTACGAGCTTCATTATAATTTAATAAAAACAAACAAATTCGTAAACTATTGTCATCATGTAATGTTTGGAAATTACCTGACTCTAGTTAAAATTCCCTTAAACTTGTCATCCAATGCGAGGATTTCCCTTACGTGTTATGAATCTTAAATCTTTCTCATTACACCAAAATACAAACGTTTTTTATGACGTCATCGTAAAATTATAGAGTATCTTGAAAGTCACGTTTAACCCATCAACACCACGTAGTGGTGGTGGGTGATTCCCTTTTGTGAATTGATCTTCACGAGGGGAAAAAACAACAGCAAGCTTAAAACAAATATTAGTAAATCATTTATGAGACTGTGACAAAAGTTGCACTCTTTCGATGCCGATTGCTGATTGTCGATGGGCGGATCACTTTCCTTCACATTTTATTTCACACTTTTCCATAAAGTGGTATTAATGGTTGATCGTCTTGTGTGTAACATTATATTTTTGGGCTTTCGCGTTCGTTATTCGGTGTTTTGTCGGTGAAAGGCAAAATGCGATAATTTCACTGCAGTCGCTATGAGCAGATAAAT